TTTTTAATACTGAACTCTCTGTTCCTTATTTGAAACTCAAAACATGTTTGACTTTCAATTTCATTTTTTGATGTAATTAGACGTTTGTTGGCAGTTTCATTTACATGAAACTTGTTTTTTGGCCAGAAATAAATTATTTAAACAGTTGAAGGAAATCGTCGAAGCCATTTTCTAGATATTTGTGCAAGCAAGCAAGCATACATACATACAAGCAAACGTTGCTCATATTAGAGTATAGGAAAAGTAGAGCTTTCTGCTAGGCTTGATATCGGTTGGTATCGGCCTATGTCATAAATCAATAGACCCTAATTGACAGTAAACTCTGTTTTGGAGGTTCAATTCAAATACCTTTGCTTCTATAGTAAATCTGGCTTAAACTTATATATCAATTAATTGAAATCTTGATCCATCCATTGTAAAAGGTTTAAGGTTTTTGAACAATGGCATACTGACAGTAAATATATGTTTCCATAGAAACTATTTATTTAATTCATTCACTGACACAGTAAATGCAACATGAAATTTTTCCTCCTGAAAAATTATTTTGAGGAAGAATACAGATTCAAGAAAGTTGAGTTAATTTGTTCTATTCCGGAAGACACCAGTACATTAGTGAAAACTTGACAGACTTCTTCCGTTCTTATCACTATTGCTACATAAGAACTAGCAGGAAATCACTATAGTAAGCAACCAACTCCTGAAGAAAATGGGAGGTTATAAAACTACTCAGAGACCTGATGTTGTATTGCTTCAGTAAAACAAAAAGGATCCACATAGTTGAAAGGATGTTTACAGTAAAATGCCAAAGGATTTGCCATGGAAAATTGTTTGAGAAACATGATGAAATGTAGGGGATGAATGCAACCATGGATGAGGAGTATGAATTTCTAAGGAGAAACTTCAAGAGGAAGAAACTGAAGAGTTCTGCAACCACACTGTGAGACGATTGAAGGCGAGTGGGCACAGAATACTGTACAAGGACAAGTCTTGAAGAAGATGAACAGTATGAGTTCGATTCAACTTGTTAGTGTTAAGTATGCTAAGTGTTAAGTACCTAGTATTAAGTATCTTTTGTACCTAGTGTTAGTATTTTATGTATCTGGTAATAAAGTATCCGTGCGCTTTCCTACTTCAGCGTATACGGAGCGTCCCCAGGTGGCGGATAGGGGGAAGGTTGGTGGATCTGCTTGTCAGATCTCCCGGCTAGGTCCAATGGACCCGCTGACCAGAAGTAGGCCCTCCATTCATATTGGGGGTTGAGGTGGTGGGCTAACCACCCTCCCTTGTAAAACAACCCTGGTTAGGTATCGCCTACAAATGCCTCGGACACGATGGATCATATTGGACAATGACCTAAGCTGCGTAATAAGGACTTGAAGCAGGATCATTCACACTCTGACGGTGCGAGGTGCTGTGGACATGGTTAGAAGGGAACTGGAAAAGTACAAAATGGATGTGGTAGCCGTGCACGATTTAGGTGGCGAAATTAATGGAATCATTTAACACTGGAAATTTCACGTTATACTACAATGGTATACACCAAGCTGGATGATGGCATACATGAAGCAGGAGTGGGATTTACCATCAATAAAAAAGATTGTACATACTCTAGTCAAATTTGATGCTGTGAATTAAATTAAAGACTGTGTTGGGCCTGTGTAAGATTAAAAAGAAAATTTAAAAACTTATCTGTGATAATCATTTACCACGGTATGTTCCAATGGAGGATGTTATGTTTCTATCCTCTAAATGTTATCGCGGGTTATTAGCGGTATCATTAAAATTACCAGTAGGTGAACAATGTGCCTTAATTATTTTTCGGTAACCAAGGACTACTACATTGATTGCTCTAGTGAGAATTTTAGAATTCGTACTTTGTACCCTAACACTCTAACCACCCTTCAGTCCAATGACCGTTAAATTAAACTTTAATGTGTCAAAATTATTTCTCAGTTAATGTGGATGTGGACTATCGCTCAGTCGTTGCTTTGAAGGCTTAAAAATTGTCTGTTACTAGGTATTCAGTTTTAGAGGTGTAGTTCAAGTTGTTAGTTATTTGTTTGTTATTATTGTTTTATAGCATAGATTAGTTTCATTGATTTTTCGAAGGCCTATGATAGCCTTGACAGGGGAAGAATATATCAGCAGATGGAAAAGTTTGGGATCCCCAGAAAACTAATAAAACTAGTAGAAATGTCCTTGAATGAATCAAAATGCAAAGTAAAAATAGATGGAGAGTTATCAGAAAGCTTTGAAGTAAGAACAGGCGTAAGGCAAGGTGATGGAATGTCACCTATACTATTTAACATAGCCTTAGAAGAGGCCCTCCAACAAGTAAGACAAACAAATATAGGTTTAGAAATGGGAACAAAAATAAACATCCTAGCTTTTGCGGACGATGTAGTAATTCTGTCAAAAAACAGAAATGACCTAGAGGAGCTAACCAGACTGTTCATAAAAAAATCAGAAAAAATGGGCCTAAAGATTAATGATGAGAAGACAAAATATATACACTTCACGAGACAGCCAAATGAAGTGAGGACAAATGAAATTAGTATAGATGGACATACTTTTGAAGTTGTTGAACAGTTTAAATATCTAGGGGTAATTATATCAAGCAGCAATAGTGAAGAAATGGAAATAAATTATAGGATTGCTCAGGCCAATAAATGTATGTATTCTTGTAAGAAATTGTTGACTTCAAAGATTCTCTCACATAAAACGAAAATAAAAATATATCATAGTATAATTCGACCAGTATTAACATATGGAGCTGAAACTTGGATTTTAAACAAAAAAGAAGAAAACAAAATGATTGTTTTTTAAAACAAAATTTTAAGAATGATATATGGACCAATACAAGAAAATGGAGAATGGAGAAAAAGACAGACAAATAGGGAGATAAGGAATATGTACAATGATTATGATGTAGTAGCACACGTGAAAGCAAGGAGAATAAGGTGGGCAGGACACGCACTACGGAGAGAACGAGGTTCACTACTAAAAGAAGCAAGTATAGGAAAGCCAGAAGGGAAACGACCATTAGGAAGGCCCAAGAAGAGATGGTGGGATAGTGTTTCCAAGGACGTCAGAGAAGTGGGGGCAGAAGTGGAAGAGGCAGAAGATCGAGAGAGATGGAAAGCAGTTGTTGGTGCGGCCAAATCCCGCCTTGGGCATAAATGGCTATGGGAGTGAGTGAGTGAGTGAGCATAGATTAGATTCAATAGATGAAAGGGGTGCTGTTAATATCGTAAAGGACAATTTTGTTTACCGACCATTTTAAAAGATGGCCTAGAAACTCAAGGGTAAGTATATCTATTCTATTTTACTACATGTCATATATACACATATCTGAATGCGAATCTATGAATATGTAAATGCTGAATTTGTCACAAAACTCGTCGCCATCCGGCCAGCAAGCATCGATATAACTAATTACTGTGATTATCAATGTATTAGAAAATGGAAACAGCTCTCCTCCCTCCTCACATCTGGGCTGCTCATACAGCAGACTGGTGACAAAACACCAACGCTTGCGAGAGTTTCCACTCTCGGTGTAGCAATGACAATTTTCCGCCGCAACCTAATGTTTTTTTCCCCTTTTGAAAGATTTCAAATTCATTCAGTCAGGCGTGTATGTGCGGCTTAACAAAACAGAAATCCCAAAGAGCAGGAGAAAGACCAATGAGAAGAGGGACTTCTTTTTGCAAAAGCTAGTCCAATTGAATAAAGAACAAATAGAGAAATAGATTTGTTAACATAATTATTTAAAGTCATAGACAAAAAGAATTAAATATAGACTGTCAGCCATGCTGCGGTTACCATGGTTACTATAGGTTCTGGCGCAGACCGCTGGAAGCGCCGTTACGTAGCTTGTAAGCCGTAGCTACATGGCGCTCCCAGCGGTCTGCGCCAGAACCTATGGTAACCGCAGCACAGCTGCAGTCTATATTTAATTCTTTTTGTCAATTGTAAAGTGCATGGGATACAAAAAATCACCAGTAAGGGTATAATTAATTGTATTAATTGTATGATAACAAGTTAGCTGTTATTCATTCGAATTGCCCTTAGTTCAATTAACCATGAGATTTCTCAGAAGGGTAGATGTGCGTTGTTAAAGGGCACTCTAAAGGCTATCTCTCACTTATGTGTTGACCTCCATCTTGATGCCTGATTCGAGTGCACCCGGATGAGGTTACCCGCCACTTTTTGTGTGGTAGCGACAGTGGCGGTTGTAGGACCTTGTCAAGGGGGGGCTACCGGGGGCTTGGGGGTGTGGAGCATGGTAAGTTTGGTAAAAACTACATTGCTGTCTGATTTATAATATTGCGCATTTTAAGGAAAAAAAATATGTTAAAATTATTTTTCTAGGGTCCAATGGGGGGGGCTTTAGCCCCTGTAGCCCTCCCCCCCCTTGGAACCGCCACTGAGTAACGACCATGTGTTATCTAATAATTTAAAAATAATCATAATCATATAATCAATGCTATAGAGGCTGTTCGGCCCAACGCTGCCGTAAGTGATTGGATAAAAAATGGCAATGTCATTTTCTTTAGTTAATTTTTTTCATACCTAATTTAACTATTATAAAATCTTGTAGCCTATTTTATGTGAAAAAATTAGCACCTAAGTGATTGTACCCACAGATGTCAGGTGTATTTTCATACAATTGTAAAATCTGAAGATTGTTTGGATTACATGTTCCAGTTAATTTTGAGTATACTGTTGTTGACTGAATGTGTTTTTCTTATTTCAGTAAAACCTAATGTACTCTTTGGTTCAAATAGTTTTCAAAGTGGTGAAATTATCAGAATGTTTAGTGCACATATATACGACATAACACTATAAATTGTTTCCACTGATTCATTTAAATGACAAATTTACAAAAGCTTGTTTTATCGTTCATCCTATGACGAAGGATAAAAGAGTTGGCAGTCAAACAAGGTGTTACTGAAATAATAAATAAACAAAAACAATGCAAAGATAATACAAGTCCTTACCTTCAGTAAGGTGAGTATTTTCTGGCTAAGATCATAGTCAAAATTTGAGTATTTTGAGTCAGACATATCGTAAATGAAGACGAGCCCACACCGTTGCGTGTCGACACTCTCCAATGCAACGTCGAGTTGGTAAACCACTCCCTGTAACATAAACATTAAATATTTAGATTTTGACAATTAATTATGATACAAAAATCTTAATTATGAAAACAATTATTGTAAATCCAATCAATTATTGTTACACTCATTCCTAAAGTAAAAGCCACTTCAGAGTGGGATTTGAACCAGTCAACCACATTCCACGGCCTGGTCAGTTAGTCGTACTTCTGGCTCTACTAGACCTATCTCTTTACGTTTTTAAGTTAAAAAATATTAGAATCTGATAATCAAAATAATGTATTTAAGTCTCCTGATATTTTGTTACAATATTTGAAATGGTTTTAGTAGAAAATAAACTGTTGATAGATTGATTTAGACCTTGCTCGATTGAAGCAAATACAGTTCCATGCTGCAGAAAGTAGATATTATTATTGAAATAACATTTATTTGTGAATGTTGCTATTAATAAAATACAAAACTTAAACACAAAAAGCCCGGTCCATGTGGACGTTCTTTCGACATACAGTACACTCCCGAGATTGTTGAGTAATCGATATTGATGGGGCTTAGACCACCTCGGTTACAGAGAATCTCCGATAACACGGAGGTCTCTTAGATTTTGGGATTAGGGGGTCACAGTACCACATTAGAAAGTACGATGGCCGTGGGAGTAAGAGTAAGTAAGTTTTAAAGAAAACAATAACTCAAACATGCTTAACACTTCTTAAATTGTCTTGGAAAACTCTAAATACAGTATTATTAAATGATGCTAAGCCAACACTCTACAACACTAAATAAAGACACGATAATTTTTGTTTGAGTTTGACTTGAACTATACTTGACACCATTATGTCAATATTTAACTTTGTTATCACAAACACTGAAAAAAGGTGATACGAGTCGGCAGGGAACGAGCAGAAATGCCACTGTTAAAGTTGAGGTACTGCAGATGACTTGTCCAGCTAACCAAGTACTGTGTGTGATTTTCATTTTATAAGTTATACAGATAATTTGTTCGTTAAAATAAAATAATAGGCCAACATATAGTAATTATTTCAAATAGTAATTTTAAGAAATCATAAATTACTTTCTATTTTTACTTTACTTTCAACAGAAACATTCCAAAAATCGTAATTATTGTTTTCCGACTGGAAATAAAAAATATATATTCAGGCCCAAAACTACCTCGGATAACTATGGCTTGGATAATCAAGAGTGTACTGTAATAGTGTGCGACTTCTATGTAGACATTTGAACACTTGTACCGAAACCCTAACCAGGCTGACGCTAACCGAAACCCCCGGTATGTGAGACCCCATTTTAATATAATAGACCTCGTTTAGAAACACACAAACTGAAACCCTGGGCCTGTGAGACCCCGCTTAAAAATAAACTAACATTTTGCTCCTGAGACGGGCATGTTATAAACAGACAACCTGTCAAGGTCACGGCACCCACGCAAAATGAACAAACAGCATATCAACCGGTAGGGGAGGAAAAGGGAGGAAGGTATTGGGAGAATGGAATCCCCCAAGTAAAAAGTGTTGCCAACATGCGTTTGTGAAAATTCCCATGGCCCTGTCAGACCGGGGTTTCGGTATTAGTGTTAAGCTATTTGACTGCCTAAAAAACCATTTATGTAGGTAGGTCTAATGTAATAATAGCAGTAATAACCTGTAGTGTAGTCTGGTGTGTGCTCAGTTGAGGAGAATGTATCCTAGCTGTGAACACTGCAATGGCAGCTCCGGTAGCATCTCTAGTGGGCTGCAACAGAAACACAACATTCATATTTATCTTTGGAAGGAAAACTAGAATTTGTTGAGATAAGCTTGGTCATGGTCATGAATGACAACTTTAGTCAGAGATTGTTAGATATTATTTTTAGTTTAGTCATTTCCTAACAATATTTCATGATATGTATTTGGTATGACATTGGTGATATCTTGATTCAGCGCTTAACCCTCCGAGTGTCCATAGTTTAGGCCTTAATGTCCACCTATTTTTGGCCCCTTTGCAAGGTTTTATTAAAACGGATCTGAGAAGCTTAAAACAATGTTAATTCTAATGTTCTATATACCATTTTGTTTGGAAAATCATGGGCTTCAATATTATATATAAAACATAAGGAACATTTTTTCAAAAAAAAAATTTTTAGGTAAAAAAAAATATAATTTCAAAAATTTTCAAAAAAAAAATAAGTTCGCGCTCAATGAAATTGTATAAATTATAGGCCTATAAATATTTGAAAATAGCCACTTTGTTCTAAATTTAATGAGGATTACAAATATATAATCATATAGCGAGGTAAGTTATCAAATAAATAAGTTATGAGCGAAAAACGGATTTCAGTACATAGCGTTTAGCTAAGAATGCATAGCCTAACCATAGCTAGGAATCTGGCTGATAATTTACATCAATATCACTACCTACTTCTTCAGGATCATCAACCAGCACTTCAAAACCACTTAAATCTTCTTATAATGCACCACGTATATCACTACTTTTGATTTTTAACACTAAAACAATGATAAACGTAATAAAACACATCAGTCATCGGTCCGGGGGAGCCTAGCTGTTTACAAATACACGCACGTCAGCTGTCTGCTACAATATTTTCGGAACTAAAATGAATAGCGCTTAGAGACAGACCTCTGGAGAAAGCTTAGAATATTACGGAAAGAACGATACCTAACTCGATCCAGTTCAATCCGATTCAGTCAGTCATAGAGCCTTCGCCGTAAACGATGTTTGTGCGTCTTAAAAGCGACGCGTGACCCTACACAAAGTGTGTTGTGCGTCGTTTTTATGACGCGTGACACTCGGAGGGTTAAAATTTTAAAACTTATAAGTTTGATAGGCCTATCAAATTTGAATAGAAAAATTATCCATTAAAAAAGAAGTTGCAAGTAAAGTCTATGTGAAATCTTAGGCAATTAAAAGCTGCCAAAACTGGCTGTATTTACTTCACTGCGTCTATATTTACTTGTAAACAAGAGAGGGTTAACATTTGATAAAATAATAATGGTCGTTTCCTAAATATTTTCATACTTGTGAAAGATTGTAAACTTGTATGAGCATAATATAAGTTAGATGGGTGAGATTAAATTAGATTTTTAATGGAATCTCTTGACTTGTCTCTTTTTGTGTCAAACAAGGAAAATTTCAAAGAAGTGTCATAAGATAACTTTGCATTTGTTAACATCCATTGTTTGGCTGTTCCGGTACTGGCTGTGACCTTCTACAAGGAAATTAACAATGAGGGAAAAAATCAGTCCCTGTGAACTGAACTGTGAATCACCGGCTTCAAACTCTTTCTCCATACAATTTGTTTACTCACAAGAAGTGTAAAAGAAAATGTATCCAATCATTTAGAAGAATTTCTTAATGATTAGAAATTCTTTAATTTATAAGAATTTTTTTAGAAGAATACTTCTTTAATCTAGAATTCCTAGATTTTTCCCGACAATGTATTCTCATATCACGTTTATGATCATTATGTAAAAGAAACATAATTAACAAATTTGACAGTTTTGACATTTCTAACTTTACTCGGGTAAAATGTGTCTCTCAGTCTTGCCAACTTTGACAATCAGTTAAAAAAAAATCAATCGTGGGAGATTGATTTTCGAAGATTGAAACGGGATAGTGGAAAAAGCCGGAAAGTTAATTGACTTAGAAATACAATATCCAGCCACCATTGACTTTTGGACTGAAGTAGAAATGCCATCTTAATAAACCAGCTGTAGTAACTAAAAAAAAAACTTAGTTAGATGAGCTACTCTTACTTCCGGTAATATAATAGTTTCTACCTAATTTTGTGTCACTGTGATAGTTGATGACATCAAAAATATGATAGTTTAAAGTAAGTGGTTCTATCAGTTTGAATTGGTCAAAATGTTGGTTGGGCCTAATCTTTTTTAACTGGCTGCAAATTTAACGTGGACATCTGGAATAACTATTTGTATACATTAATGATTTGATTATGTAGGTTCTAGTATGGATAAAACATAGTTCCTTGGTAGATTTCCCATCCTTATGGAACAGCTGAAGCCAATTCTGTTCCATAAGGATGGGAAATCTACTAAGGGACTATTTTATCTATGGTACTAGGTAGTTTGCTACTGAATTCCTCTAAACAAACAAGTTTTTTACTAAATCAACCTCTTCTACTTACCAGGATTGTGAATTTGCCAGTGTCTAGCTCGCTTTTCAGAGGTTCCGTGTTGGGGTCAAAGTGCACCAGACCCTCTCTATGTCTTGTGGCCTCGTGTTGTTCATACAACGCGACAGCGCGAGCCACATCGAACTTGCGAGCTGCCAAAAACTTGACCGCAGTGCCCCACGACACCGGCCCGCGCCGCCTCAGCTGATTCACTTTCTGAATGAAATTTTTTGTGGCCTGTAACAAATAAAAATAGTTAGAACTAGTATTTACCTTTACTTTGTGACAAGGACTGTATCACCATTTTGGTAACAGACAGATATATGGTTATGAATCATTTTGACTTTCTGAATAAGAAACATAAAACTTATCAACACCTTCATGATTGGTAGTGTTTTTGGTACATATTAACCTATATTGACTCTATAAATAAACAAAATTGGTAGAGTGGGAGTTTTTTTATAGATTATTTTGACATTATTTTTTGCAAAGAGGTTATACTCCGTTCAAACAGCCGTGGCACCTGAGGGATTAGGAGGCCCCAAGGGTACAAAAAATACACTTCAAGTATTAAAATCAATATTTTATGAAATTTTTTTATGATAAAATATTGATTAGGCCTACACCAAAGAGATACAGTATAAATTTGTCTGAGTATCAATTATTTGATTTTATTATAGTTTTATACTATCTATATGATTATATTTTAAATTCGACATTTGATAGTGTCATTGTTATAAACATAGATCATGAGAAAATGGAAAGCACTCACTTTAAAAAACCAGGCCCGAAAATTGAAGTTATTACTTGTTGAAAAATGTATAAATACCCCGCTGCAGCAAACCTGCAGACTAAACTAATTACCATTTGTCTAAATTAATTTTCAATTAAATCTAATTAAATAACATAAGGTTTAACGAGTAAATAGTTTGCTGCTACAAGGGAACTGTGTTTTTAGTAAAATATTAATAGCTTAGTATAGCCTAAAATAAAAAAAATTGCCAAGTTTGATCAAAATATATCCACAAACAAGCAAACTACAACATTAGCCTATACAATATTCTCCATAAAAATAACATGTGAATTTTAAATTTACAATTTTTTGAATTTTATCCATTACCAATAGGCCTAACTGTATAAAAACACTTTTGTATACTATTTTTTTTTGTTTTTTTAAGCTATTTAAAAAAGTCTAGAGAGAAATTGGGAAATTTTGTGTTTTGACGGTCAAAAATTAGAAAACCCAATTTTTACCCCATAAAACCCCTGTATTTTTTACATATTGTTTAAAACACCTCACCCGGTTTTAAGAAATGAAAAACCCCATATTAAAGCCAAATGTTTTAAGTCTACATTTAACAATGAACTAATGTTGAGTCCTGTGTACTTGAGAAAATCAAACACGAATCCTGGGTCAGATGACGGTGGTAAGAAATATTACGTGAACACCTAAATTAAAATATATATATATATAAATATACATATATATATAAAAATGTCAACGAATGGTGTTTTTGCCCTCTGGGGACATTAAAATGAAAAAGTAAATCGGTCCCGGGCCTAGGGCCATAGACTAACCAACACAAAGGGCTTACCATGCCACCTACGGTAATAGCTACTTCCTTATAGGGAAATTCGCTAAAATGAGGCTCACTCTTTAATCTGAGGTTAAATTAATGATTTGTGACGACAGTCGGCATCGGATATCAGTATGACGATGACGATGGATGACAGCTGATTAGTGATTAGTGGGGACCTTTCGGACGGCAGAGTAGGAGTAGCCATAGGAGGGAGGGAGGGGGGGCACTTCCGGCCCACCACCGGCACTTCCGCTCTATCATCTGCTCCGTCACTAACACACTCCAGCTGATATCGCGAATATCAGTTCGGTTCCCCGCTCAAGTCTCAAACTCCACACGAACGTCGGCCATTTAAAATTTAAATGCCCCGGGCCCTATTTACATCGCTGATTATACAATTAAATTACACCCATGTTAGGTCATACTTTACTAGCATAAAATTTACACATACAAAACATTGTATTGACATAATTGGCCTACTTGATTCTAACAAAGCCTAGTTGATTTATTACTCTATAATCGTCAAAAGTCAAGCGTGCGCTGTGTATCAAATACTAGCATTTAAATTTTTTATGCCACGGCTTCTATTTTCATCGCTCGTTGAGAAATAAATAGAGACCAATTTTCAACAAACGAACTATAGTATCAATTTATACTAATAAGAAAGTATTGTATTAACACTGTAAAAAATGTTCATTCAAAATGGTTAGCAGTTTTTTTTAATCTTGTCTAAAAACGAGTTGCAGACTCGCCATTATAATATTTTATTTGCATTTAGTTCCGTTGTTTTTGTAAGAGTATTACGCCTCTTTGTGACTACAGATAGTCATTTGTAACTTGACTATTTCATAACACATCCGACGTATAAGACGAAGCAACAAACAGTATAGAACCATAATGTGGACGACTGAAATGCTTGATTCACCTCATTATCGAACTCGAACTGATTCTCCACTTCTTCATTTTCAGCGAATCTTACTACCACAGTCATAATACAAATACAGACAGGGTAATATCGCACGAATGTTAAATACTTGGTCTATGATTATGTAGTGCAAGTAGAGTCATCTTGTATGTTTGTACACAATGTTGTGCGAGTTTCATGTTGGTGACGTTTCCGTGCTCATATTGGTTATGTCAAGTTCTAGGTTAGATTTTACGTTTCATGTTTTTCTCAGTAATGCCACAAGACAATCAAGACGTTATTGTATGATTTTATTTGGATTTAGTTGCTGAAATACAATTTAAAAAGTAAACAACGTATTAAACGTCCTAAAGTATTTATCATCGTCGATGGTTATGTTGGCATACTCTTGTAAATCAGGTGAAGCACAGAGAAGAAAGATACAGTATCTTACTTATATCTGTGTCTTTAAGAACACTTTACTGTTTCACCCTGTTACTATAAAGGGTGTTTTCGTGTACTATTTGTTTATTACTATGAAACATTTTATAAACATGTTTATATAAAAAAAAAAAAAACTATCATACCCTAATTGCTTAACCTCTGATAACCCCCCTAAAAATGCACTAAACTTAACAATACAATTAAAAGTCTACTTGAACAAGTCAAACAAGGCTTGTAGTCAAGTCAATGGTATTCGATGGCTACTACAGTTAGCTAAAAAGCGACGGACATGCTATCGCCATCGTTATGATGAAAGTTTCACCCGATTATTATGACTCGGACGGAGGCGAGCATAAACCTGATATCCGCCTTGTCAAAACAACAAAGACAACTACACACAGTCTCGTTATCGCTATACCGCAACACTGCTCAAAACAAAACCGCAAAATACTCTCCCCTTGTCTGTGCTTATACATACTCTATTATTATATTTATGTTATTGATAGTCGTATTTCATTATATTGGGTGTCCCGTAAGGGCTAAGTACAAAAAATAGGAGGTTTTATGCGTCAAGATCAAACGAAAATCAAGAATAACATTTCCAAATACTCATTGTTAACAAGATACCCGCAATTTGGTTTCTTTTGTATTTAACATTCGTATCTTTTAATAAACATCTTTATGAACTTTGGTATTGTACAACATTTGAAATGGCAATAAACTATTTGTGATCAAATACAGTAATTAAAAATACTTTTGTGTTTCATAATGGCGGCCATTTTAATCATTGAAACATAATTTACTAAATGATTGCCGATTTTAAAAAAAATGTCAAGAATACTAAATTAATCAGCATCTTAAATTTCCTACGAACCAATATACGAAGCAATACGAACCAATTTCCAGTTTAAAAATATTAAAAACAAATACAGTAGCTGAAATATCACGATGAAGGTTACACCTCTTTTTACCATTAGCGGATAAGTTATCTCAAGCTAACAAGGCGTTTTTGGGAATTAACATTATTCTTTTTTGTTTTATTTTGACCCATAAAAACGTATTCTTAAATTCTGTACTTACTTAAGGGATCTTGTATTATTAGTATTTAAATACAGTACCTAATAAAAACGTCAAATGAAACCGGGTAATCTGACCAATTAACATCAAATTTAGATAAGTAGGCTATTTCATTGTAGATACTGTACTTAAAAACAACTACCTAGAGTGATTAGCATTATTTTAAACTGAATAGCCCAGTCAATAAAGGAAAAAATAGTGCTTTGTCGGAAGTAATTAGTGAAAGGCTGATTTTTTCATAGATGTTAGTTGATCATATAAGGGACATTTTCTATAAAGTCCCCGCCCTCCCCCTCTTGCTTCCCCCCCCCCCCCACCCTAGACCCTTTTAAGTTTATTTGTGTAAACTTTTATTATTTTATCAATATCTCGGAAACAAACAGCAATAGGGTTAATTTTATTTCGCCATTTCAATCATTAGAATATTCTCTACAAAAAACGTTATTAGTGTGTAATCGATAAATAAGTAGTTTTCTTGTAATTTAAGTTTCAATTTATTTTTTTCACTTTAAAATTTCAACCCTTGTGGGTTTAGTTGATTTGTATTGATATGAGACAACATAGAAAAACATTTTTTAAATAAAAAAGTGTATTTATCACTCTTTTAAAATGATATGGGTTTCAGCGAATTTCCCATATAGGGAATAAGCTATTACCGTAGTAGGCCTACTCATGGTAAGACCTGGACCCGGGACGGATATAATTTTTTGTTTTGAGGTACCAAGAGGCCAAAAACAACATCCGTTCAAATTCATAGGCTATAAGTTATGTGTCCGTTAGTGCGATAACTCAAGCAAAAATTATCCGATTTTGATTAAATTTGGTACAAACGTGTAAACCTGCGTTAATTCAAACGAGTTTGCGAACCAGCATAATCGGACCATGGGAACGGGGGTTTATGGGGTAAAAATGGGGTTTTCCCATTTTTGATCCTAAAAACAAAAATGTTTGCAATTTCTGTTGAAACCATTTTGTAGAGCTTAAAAAAAGAAATAATTTAGTAGGCCTATATTGAAGCGTTGTTGTATGCCTAATTGTCACGGAGAAAATTAAAAAAAAGTGTAATTTTTAAAATTTCTATGTTATTCTTATGGATAAAATGAAAACTTTTGTAGTTTACTTGATTATGGATAGCCTATATGTTGATAAAATTTGGCAAATTTATTTATTTCATCCTATACTGTTGACGTATCGTCAAAAAACACTTTTTACCTTCCCCGTAGCAGCAAACC